TAGTTCCAAGGACGAAATTAGCTTACATCACTCCCAATACACCTAGCTACAAATCAAGGAGCAAAAAACAGTTCTTTCTTTTTAGTTTGAGATTCCTTAGTAGCCCACACTTATGACCCCAAGAGAGCATTCGGACCTCCCAGTGAGACCCCAATAATCATTTAGACGACCGAGTCAGAATTCAGCTTCCAACTTGCATACAGCAGAACAATCTGTTAATAAACACCGTACAGTAGAACTTTTTTTTATGTTTGTGTAGAAAATTTTGACCTTGTTGTTGGTTGAAAGTTGTCTTGAGTTCCAGATGTTCTATATGAAAAAGCAAACATCTGGTTTAATACTCTATCTCAAAAAATAAAGCCAAATGTTTCAAGGCTACTCCATTGCCATTATTTACCGGTTACTTGATTATCCAACTTTGGAGGTTATTGCTTAAACCCTAGTCTGTTAATAAAACGAGGAGTTGAGTGATATTAAGCTAATTTCCAGGAGGACTGAACAGTATGACACCAGAATTCTGCAATACTCGAAATAGTATTTAACTTCTATTCATGAATAAAGAAGCAACTACTTGTTACTCACAAGGCGTCACAACTTGTTCAAGGAGGTTCCTAAGAAATATTTCTTTACATTATCACAAGCCAGTCACTGATCCTTACTTAAAAAACAGTAAATGAGAATGAAATATTTTAACTGTCAGCGTTAAGTACCATCTATTTTACATCCAATATGTACATTCGATTAAAAGTAAACTTTTAATTAACAAATCCTTAAAAAAAAAGATTATGTCTAACACCTATGTCGTGATGAATACCGTTACGGTAATTATTTTATGAGGTAATTAAATCTTTTTTTCTCAGTAAATTGTCAATTATATTGGAAAATGAACAAACTTCTTTTGAGTCCTAAAAATTCATTGTGACTTACTGAAAAGCTGTTTATTCTAACAATGTGCAAAATAACCTGATGTAGGTATTGATTTCTAAAATTATGTTGAATGCAAATCAAAAGTAGGCTTACATTTAGCTTATTAGAATAATGCACAAGTGTAAAGAAAACCACCAACTTCGAGATCACCAAGCTGGATTCCGTAAGTATCGGTCGTGCACAGACCAAATTGCGACACTACGGATCATCATTAAACAATCAATCCAATGGAACTCGTCACTATACATCAACTTCATTGATTATGATTAAGCGTTCGCTCTCGAGACTGATAAGTCCTGAGGTCGAATCTATCGGGGCGCGATCGCGAATACGCACTTCTGAGGAGTCCCATAGTATGATGAAACGGCCGCTTTCCGTGGCAAGGTCATGGATGGAGGAAAGCTGACAGATGCATTCCAAGTAAGGACCGGAGTCAAACAAGGCTGTCTACTCTCTCCCTTCCTCTTTCTTTCGGTGGTCGACTAGATTATGAAGACCTCGACATCTTCATGTGCCATTGTGGTGTTTGTTGAAATCGCTAAAGGGACGGTTTGGGCTTCGCAGGAAGTTGAAAGCAAAGTTTATTTCCATACACATGAACAAATGCAGATAGACAGTCAGTGTGGCAGCAGCAAACTACTGTATAAGTGGCAGTGTGGCAGTACTGCAATAGAGATTATTGTTGATAAATATGAACAGAAATATTGGTTTACGCGGAGGTTGTATGTTGTTAAAGATTTCTAAACTTTTAGGGTTGAAATATATTGTAGTCAGTAGTAATACTTTATGTAAACATGCTATTTGAAGCCTTTTTGTCTTTTTATGTGATAAGCGGGGTAATAAAAAATTAACGGGTGATACGAAGTCTTTGATGAAGATAATTGAGGTTTTTCGTTCATAGCCACAGGTTTAATGCTAGGAACTGGGACTAAATTTGTTAGCTCCATAGTTGAATATTTTGACTTGCAGTCAAAGGCGAATAGGCAGGAGCATAATATGTCTCTTAGCGGATTGGCCAAAATATAATGTTGATATGACAAATGCTAATAATTTATAAATACCCGTGTTTTTCTGTACAAAAATGAACCTTCGGAGTAAAGTGCTTTCCGCTTAATTTGCGCCTTTCCTCTCGTGTTAAGGTCGCTGCGTAGTTCTAGCTTGCGGGTTACTAGAATAGCTTTTTAGATCCCTTCCAATTTGCAAGAGTTAATGGGGATCTAAACTCCCACTCTGGCAGGCTTACAAATACCATGCGTTCAACTAAACCTGTTTCCACTCAACCTCATTAAACTGATGTTTTCGTTCAACCTGCCCTGAGGCCTTCTTACACACGTCTTTGTACATCGTTCGTACACTCTCTTTCAAATCAAGCTTCTCGGAAAACGGGGGATTCAAAAGTTGCTATTTGAGCGACAACAGCAGCGTTTCAAGAAGAGCCAGTTGAATGTTTTAGACAATTTACGCACACGGCTACTAAATCATCCATGCACCAGGATCGATCGTCTCAAGGCCGCGTGTTTGGAAGGCAATCCTAAATAAGAGCTGCAAAATGGCTTCCCAGAACACATGAACGTGTAGATGGATCACAACTGCGGAATCCCTGGTGAGCGGGAATGTAAACTAACAATGGACTCCTCGGCGATATATGAAAACCGACTGAAAACAACGGGTGTTCAAATCCCATTGTCCCCGAAACACTATGTGCAAACATTGGATTGTCCAGCTCACAGAAAGATGATGTCTTATTAAATGCTCATGAAATTATTGCAGTACCCGGCCACAAAGAAACAGAAAATGAAACAAGCATCATAATGAAGACAGTTGCATTAAATGGAGCTTATTATTATTATTATTATTATTCACAAACATCTTATGGGTACATAAGTGTTCTGAAGAAATTTTATCAGATATTGAGTCATCTTAATGACTCACATGCCTTTGTTTTCAATAATATTAACATTATACTTGCCATATTTAAAAAAAAAATAATAATAAAAATAAAATAAAAAATTGAGAATTATTTTAGCTTAGTGATCGATTATCTACTAATGAAAATTTAGTTTAAAGAAGGAAATGGAGAAAATAAGGGAATAGAAATAAAGGAGACGTGAAATACGCAAACAGTCTAATAGGCGTGTTTATGAACACAGAACAAGAATAAACGACTATGTGTGTATCGTTAAATTAGTAAATAATAATTTATCATTGTATTAAGATATGACACTAAAATAAATTGATAAAGCAGTTAAAAATCAGAGACTTTGAGTGCCAATTATGAGCTTTGTTCAAGATTAATTCCGTTTTGATTCAATGTAATGATTACTGAATGTAGTATTTCTTTTCTTTTCTCGTGTGATATTTTATTCTGTATAATATACGATATTCTTGTATTCCATTGACATGAACTATGCTTAGTATATGATTTGTTATAACTCTAAGTATTTTTCATATATGTGATTTCATCCTAATTATTAATCAAAATCGGTGTACAATCAATATATAAATGAGTGTATTTCCTACTAAAGTAGTCACGTTTTGAGGTTAATAAATCATCACTTATACCAGTCTTTGTGTTCTTTCGCATCGTGGGAACTGCAGAGGTTCCCCGTTCCGAGTATAGGTGATAAGCGTTTCTGACATAACAATCAGCGACGACCAAATACAAAAAGTAGCATTAAAAGTCACAATTGATTTTAAAGGACAATCTGGAGTTAAATATGTTTAGAAGGATAAGAAGATACAGAAAGAATATCTAATGTACGGAGCTGTAACTGGAGAACTGCAACAATCACCATCAAGAAGGTACAAGTATTTACATAAAACAAAAATGTCATTCAGTAAAAATCGTTTTGCTGCTATTACATGTTTAACAAACGCATCTGTGTGAGTTTATTTTCCTTTTTCCTCTTTCGTTTCCTTGCTCACGTACGAGTGCAATTCAGTATGCACTTACATTTCCATTTTTACTTTTGCACAACAGCTGGAGATGAAAGACCGACGGAGATTACGATGGATAGAAATTTTCACTGTACTGGTTTTTCATCACTATATTGTACCATATGGCTCCCTATAGTACAGTTTGTATTTCCCACTTGCAATGGCCTTAAGTTTACTGTGCGCTTCCTCTTTTAAGGCGCGGAGTAATCTGTAGCGCTGGATAAATCCCCAAAATCAGTAGTTCTGTAAGTCTTCAACATTTGTGCTGACTGTATTACTTTTATTGGACTCATCCAGCTGAACTAGCCCTGTCACGGTTCTTTACCAGAGTCACGTGTGGTCTTCTTCCTTTAGTTAACAAGGCTGGGGCGCACTAGAATAGCTTAGCTTGTCCTATCGCTGTGTTGCTGACTTTCGTTCCGCTTTCCGATTTTTGGTGATTCGTAATCTCTTCAATAGTACCACAATTTGTTAGATCTACTCCTATGACTATAATAAGTGGTACAATAAACGTGAATGAAATTAAAACTTTAAAGTAACCGAAAAACTGGTACCGGCTCGAGAACATTCAGACGAGTAACAAGGTTAGATTGAAGATACAAATGAAAGTTAAAAAAAATTGACTGTAGCTCCATATCGTGAGTATATCTAACAAAGATAATTATATGCCTAGTATGAAGTACAACATGTATCCAACAAGTTTTTACTGTTATTAGGTGTATTTATGAAATTATGTTGTGGCAAGAAGAGTACTCTGAGAATCCCATTACACTGCACATTACTTGACTATTCTTCTCGAGTTCGATTGTACTGGTTTACTATATTTCTCTGCTAGCTTGGTTGCATCATGAAGTTCTCTAATAACTTATTCTATTGAAGGCATTTTATAAATTAAATAACACGATATAGCGCTTCCAGTTTTTTCAAGAAACCATATCAAATATATAAGGGTATGTTATGAGATAGAAAACATTTGTGAATGAGTTAATTGAAAACTGTCTTTCATATTTCGTTCATCTAGAAAGATATTATTTATTCTATGCTTTTTGCAGTTACAATAGGAGTGTGTTAACTGAATATACAATTCAAAGTAAGGAAAGACAAGACATTTAATAGCAGCTTAACAGTAGTATGTATCACAGTTGTTCTGTGGAATTTCCATTCCATCGGGCTTGTTCATCATCTGAACTATCAGGCATGTGCGAAAGACGAGCAACATTACCCTATAAAAGAGATTAAATATAGCACAATCAACGATGATATTATAAACACTACATGTAGTTAGAATTATAACATCAATTCCGCCTTCAGAATGATCTTGAACTTACTTGACGTCTTACAGAACGATTTTGTTTTGAACCACTTGGAGGTACAGTATTTCCAGGAGGATTACTATTAGATTGCTGAGTGCGAGAACCTGTCAGACTGGATACAAGACTCTGTCCCAACGAATATAAACCACTTACTGCCCAACCAATTAAACCATAAGTAGTGCTGAAGCCTGAACTGATAATATTGTAAAACTGGGACACGATTCCATCTATATGAAAAAAGGGAAATTATTAAAGGATCTTTAACAAGTTCTATATCTTCTGATCATAAAAATTTAACAAAGTAAATAAATTATTTTATAACAAGACACATAAGTTTCATTGTTGAAATAAACACAATATCTGCAGTTAACATCGGATTATGATTCACGATGAAATCTGTCAAATATTACTCATCACTTAAAGATTTAGGAAAGAAATGACTATACAAAAATCCGAAAACACTCATTCAAAGAATGAATACCAAGTATGCTAAAACCTGACTCTTGAACTATCAGAAAGTATTTTTTCTGCCATTCGACTGGTCCTTCCAGTCCTTCGTAAACTAGTTGAAGCAGTGAAATTTTAGGCTTTTCATTTATTGGTAATGAACTAATTCTATTTACTGCTGATGACAACTGGATATTTGTAACACTTACTTAAAACCCGTCCTAGTGATGTTGCTGAGAATGATAATAAAAGCTTCGTAACTAAATAATTCATCTGAAAATACTCAAATCCAAATGGAGCGTTTGCATGGTTGAAATGGATTTTTCTGGTTTGTGCTAGTTTAATAATGTTGTTCTTAAGTTGGTCTAAGCTAGATTACCACAGAAAACCTGGAAGTACTGAACAGACGTTTCGTCCTAGTACGAAACTCCTCAGCAGGGCGCATCCACAATTCATACGCAAGACTCAAACCCAGGATCTTCAGTCTCGCACGCAAACACTTGAGTCGGCATCCGACGGTGTTCAAGTTCAACTTCAAACAGTACATGATCTTGTGCAACTCTTCATCCATTATCTGAAGTGGACAACTGTCTCACACCCGATACGGACGTATCACATGGTCATTGCAGAACCAGATCGATCGTATTTACATAATTAAAAATACAGAAGGTCAATGGATGGACATGATCCAAGAGGGGAAATGAAATTATTTCAGATTGTGTTGAAGATTAATTTGAAGCTAACCAGCCAATGGATAACCGGAGAAGCTGCATTACAAAAGTTTAACACAACCTTCATTTGAGATACTGTTCAGTTCAACGAATTCACGATAGCTCTCAACAACACGTTCCAAACCTTACAAGATCTGCTCAGAAAAGAGGAATCCAAAGTTTATTGTTATCATATTATCCGAATGTGTTTAATTTCCAAATATTAAATGGTTATCTAATAGGGAAATAGAAATTTACTATTACACAGTATTCAAGAAAGAAAGAACAAGAAGACTGCAACGAAAAACAGCCGAACGAGAACCGAGAAAGACAAGGCACAAGCTGAATACACGGAAGCAAACAAGCATTAGAGCCGACAAACAGAAATATGTGGAAGAGCTAGCAACGACAGGGAAAAGGAAATATGAAACGACTATATGACATGACGAAGAAACTAACAGGGATATATAGTAAACTTGAGAAACCAGCCAAGAACAAAAGATGAAAGCCAGTCACTGAGATCCTAGAAGAACGAAAAGGATGGGTAGAACAATTCGAGAAACTGTTGATTGGACCGGCTATATATAACTGACCGAAGCGGAGCAGCTCTTACAGCCTTTCTGTCTGAGATTCGTCTTCCGGCAGAAATCACGTTGGGAAAGAAAAAAATCGCAACATTATTAAAGTAAAAAATATGGGATCGATATTTTTTAAGAGTACACAGTAGTAAGATATACCTAACATAATATTTAGGGATATACTTTGAAACTAATTTCAACATTTTTAAGATAATATTTGTGTGTAACCATATTATCACACCGTATAACAAATCAAGATATACTATTAATTTTTTATGCACAAATTAAAAAGTACTACCAACTAGCGGTTTATGAAAACCTCAGAAGAGGACACGTTTATGAGCCGATTAAGGACTGATAAGTTTCCTGTTACTATACAATGAAGATGACGTAGTGTGAAAATAGAGCAACAGAGAATGTTTACTCTATTCGATGCAGATCTTAGTCGAAGCATGAATTAACTAGAAATAGTCCATTTTCTTCTGTTAGAAGTTAGTGCGAAATCATGTCACTTTTGACCCATTAAATGATGAGGATGAATTGCCTAAGAATTCTGTTGCTTTCTGATAATTCATCGACTTTTCAAGGAGTCTATAAGTAAATTTTGTGAAGTCATCAATAGAAGCTTTTACGATACGATAAAAGATTCGAACATACACTGATCTTTATTCAAACGAATGAAAATTTACTGTGAAAGTTTGTTTCAAGATGACAAAAACCTATTATCATTTTTTAAATACCTATGTTGAACAGAACTACCAAAATACATTGTCGTCATTCATCATCTAGTCAGTGACATTCTTGATTTTGATGATCATTTATGATCGCCAACTCCGCCTGGAGTCCCTCCGGGGGCTACTGCCGGTCCCAAGACCGGATAAAGGAGGAGGGTTGGGCATGGGGTTAGCGTCCCCATCCCGTAGAAAACTAACTCGCTAAGAAAACGCTAACCAGAAAAAATTATTCAAACCGTTTAAACTCTGCCCTGGGAGTCAGAAGGTCTTCATTTAGAAGAACTATGACGCCTCACGATGAAAGCCGAATTCCTTCGGAAGTTACGCAGCCTTTTTCACAGCCTGGAGAACATATGGAACTCAAAACAACTGTCAACAAATATCAAAGTCACAGTCTTCAATACGAAATTCAAAACAATTCTACTGCATGGAGCTGAAACGTGGAGAACCACCACAACCATCATCAAAATATTACGAGTATCATAAAAAATTGTCTACGTCCGGCCATGAAGAAGAAAATGGCCCACATACACAAGGAGTTGCATTGATGCTGTCCAAACAAGCACAAAATGCACTTATAGGATGGGAATCTCATGGACCAAGGATCATCAAAGCCTCATTCAAAACAAAGAAAGAAGGCATTTCAATGAACATCATCCAATGCTATGCGCCTACCAACGATTACAATGAAGACGCTAAAGATCAATTCTACAATAGGCTGCAGTCAATCATCGAGAAGTGCCCAACAAAGGACCTGACCATTCTGATGGGAGATTTCAATGCCAAGTATGCTCCTCTACGAGCGATAAGAGGCGAGAGTAAGTCTGAATAATGTTGGAAAATGGTGAGAGATTCGCAAACCTATGTGCCTTCAATAAACTGGTCATAGGCGGCACCATATTCCCACATAAACGCATACACAAAACCAAATGGACTTCACCGGATTACACCACGCAAAACCAAATCGACCATATTTGCATCAACAAAACGTTCAGGAGGACTATAGAGGACGTGAGAACCAAGAGAGGAGCTGACATAGCATCAGATCATCACTTGCTGGTCGCCAAGATGAAATTGAAACTCAAGAAGCACTGGACAACGGGGCGGACAATATCACAAAAGTTCAATACGGCCTTTCTTCAGGATACTAACAAACTCAACAAATTTGCCTTATATCTTCTATTCGTATTAAATATATTGTTCTTTCTTCAGCCTAACCTTGTTCTACATCATGTATTGGTAATTGATACGATACAGTGAGTTGGTGTAGTCGATGGTGTGACTTCCACGTAAGATCTTATAGATTAGGCAGTTATATCATGACAAATCTACAAATTTAGGATTAGGTCTATTATTAGAGCAGTACTAATATCATAGTAGACCATAATTCTACATTGGTGAGCCCAACTAAAGAAACGCAACCTATTATTATTAATCCTTATTTCCACTTCAACTTTCTCGATCGATTTTATATTTATGTTAACACTGTATTCTAATAGTCCTCTGATTAATGCTCACATGCATTATCGTAATGTTATATTGATTAGTCCTCATGACAAACTAGCTCAATCGATAATAAAAACTGGTCGTCTATACTAACTAATTAGCTTTGATGGTTTGTTAACAAGCTGTAATAGCATTTACATGCTTCAGCGACATAGTCTTGTTTAAACATCAAGCTCTAGCAAATATGACCTGTAAATAGCGTGAATATACATTGACTAACAATGCGATCAAGGACTAAATAGTTATCTGGATCTAATTCTCAGTGTTCCTTCACTTAACACCTCATCCTGTTTTAAACTATGCACTATCCTGTGATATCTTTTCTTCCGACCACTGCCTGCCTAATTTCATATTCTCGAGTTCCATTGCCAAACAACGAGGATGACTACTCCAAAAACATACGGTGAGTTTCAGCTATAAGTTTTCTGCAATCATTTTTAGATGGTTCGTTCAATGACAACCATACAATTATCTGGATTCATTCGATTGTTCTGATCCGAGCGAGTGTCAAAAACCTCAACAGCATCAAGCACCCTGGAATTAATTGCCATACTGCATGTTTTATTCTGGATGCTTTTGGATCAACACTACTCACGAATGGCGTTATATATGTCGTCCACTGAATAATCTAATTTTCAAAAATAATCAAGGCGAGTTCAGCTATTTTACTGGATGATTTTTTGGTACTTAACATGTATATGTTTTCCAGTTGCTTGTGCCATATATTTGTAAGTGTCTCTAGGCTAAATGCAGGAATTTCTCATGGAAAGTTTATAATGCGTTACATTCCTGCTTGAAGTTTCATAAGCAGTCTTGACTTTAAAATTACTTTTCCTGGTCATGTTCATTATTTTTAAATTGTCATATACGTCAAGAACCTGCATGTTAACCTGACCCACACACGCGTTGCACTATATCTTCATGTCTTCTAAATTTAGAAATCATCTGAATCGTCTTTAATATTTATCAGTAAACCCATCATAGTCGTTGTTGCTAATCGTATTTGGGTTTATGAATTGGTTTATCATATTACCAGCCTAAAATGCGAACATAGTTTAGATAATAAGATTAAAAATTTAGGTACTATCAACTGCACTAGTAAAATAACTAAATCCTCAGGTAGCTGTTGGCTAAACAAACGTTTAAAATCAAAACTCCGTAGCCTACTAGAATTAACACTAGACGAATATTTCTGAATTGAAATTTATAATTAGATTAGGCGTCTCGGATTCTTTAACGTTCTAAATTTCTG